CTGCAGGGAGCATCAGAGTGGCTCTTGTGCCAGGCTGACCTACCCATCCCACCGGTCATGTGCCTGCCCCACAGCTCTGTCTCCTTTCCTGCCACAGGCCCAGATCCTGAGGGAGGTGGGCGGCATCGTCTTGGCCAACGCCTGTGGCCCGTGTATTGGCCAGTGGGACAGGTGAGAGGCACCTTTCTGACAGCACAGCCCCTGTGTACCGGGGTGTGAGGCCCCAGAGGTTGAGGGGAGATGTTACTGGAGCGGAGAAAAGAGACTTGAGCCTGCGGCCTCCTAGGGGCTGCTGCATATGAGATCTGCAGGCATGGTGGGGTGGGTGGGCCGTAGGTAGAGAAAGAGCCTAGCTGAAGCTTGGGGTGGGGGCAAGAAGCCCGTGTGGCCACATCCTGATGGCCACAGCCAGGGGCTCTGAGGGAGCCACTCGAGGCCACCACTTAGGTCAGGGGACACTAGACCTTGACATGGGGTCGGCCTCTGTGGTCCACAGTCACACAGACGCCCACCAACCTGAGGTCCACTCCGCTCTGTGCAGGAGTCTTGGGGGTCCCTTTCCTTTCTCGGTCAGGAGCTGGGCACGTGCCTCAGGAACCTGGCCATCTGGTCTTGGGACAGGCCAGGTGTCCCTAATCCTGTCCCTCTGGCCTGACAGAAAAGACATCAAGAAGGGGGAGAAGAACACAATTGTCACCTCCTACAACAGGAACTTCACAGGCCGCAATGATGCAAACCCTGAGACCCATGCTTTTGTCACTTCCCCGGAGGTGAGACCACCTGATTTGGCATTAGCCGGGGACCCCAGAAGGCTGGCTCCCTTGGTGCTCCCAGCCTGGCCCTCCCTCACATCTCCAGGTCCCAAGATGTTGTTTAGCACCAGTGGTAGGTATGAGCAGTTACTCCAGGACAAATGCCAGCCTTTCTCTCCTCTCACCGGCTGCATGAGCTTGGTCAGGTCCTGATCCTGAGTCTCAGGGTCCAGCAGGCAGGGTTATGTGTTTGTAGGATAATTACTCCCATTCCCCACCCCGCTTCCCAGGGATTGAACTCAGGGCCTGCACTGGCCAGGCAGACGTGGTCCCACTGAACTACTTTTTTTTTTTCCTTTTGAGATAGGGCCTTGCTGTGTAGTCCAGGATGCCCTTGAACTCATGGCACTCCTCCTGCCTCAGCAAACCCAGGACCTCTGCACTAAGCTATAGCCCACCCCTTTTTTTGAGACAGGGTCTCCCTAAGTCGCTAAATTGCCCAGGCTGGGATCAAAGTCATGACCCTTCTGCCTCAGCCTCTGAGTGCTGAGATTATAGGCTGACGGGCACGTGCCACCACAGCCAGCTTCATCTTTATTTTTTTTTTCTTTATGAGACAGGGTCTCACTATGTAGTTTGGGCTGGCCTCAGACTCACAGCAATCCTCCTGCCTCAGCCTCCTGAGTGCTGGGTTTTTGTTTGTTTTGAAATAAGAGTGTATGTTAACCAGGCTAGCCTTGAACTCCTGGATTTAAGTGATTCTCCAGCCTCAGCTTCCCAAGTAACTTGAGCTGTGCAACACCACACCCAGCTCGTGTTTCTGAGTTTAGGAAAAGTTGGGGCCTTGCTGTTACTATGCACACAGTGTGAGCTGAAGTGCTCCAGGCACTAGGTGGCTTTCCTGCCTTAGCCATCACCTGCACGTCTTGGAGTGGCTGTTTACATGTGCATTCCAGAGCTGCTTGTGCTGCCAGGAGCGGAAGATGCCTCCCTTCTCTGCCCTGCCCAGCAGGGACCTTCCTGTCAGTGAGCACTTGCCAGGGAGAGGAGAGCTGGTGCCAGCCTCCTGGCTGGTGGGGAACACTACACTCCGGCTCTGGCTGCAGTGGTAGAAGCCAAGGGACTCTGGGGTCCCTGAGTTCTCCCCCCAAGCAGGAGAGGGGCAGGGGCCCGGGCATCTCCTGGGCTCTGTGTGGGAGGACAGGTGGGGTGTCTGGCGCTGACCAGCGTAAACTGGCCTTCTGTTTAGATTGTCACAGCCCTAGCCATTGCGGGAACCCTCAAGTTCAACCCAGAAACTGACTTCCTGACAGGCAAGGATGGGAAGAAGTTCAAGCTGGAGGCTCCAGACGCAGACGAGCTGCCCCAAATGGTGAGCTGGGCCTGCCCAGGGGCGTCCCAGGCACTTCTTGCCCAGCAGGCAGTGGTGCCACTGTCTGTGGGCAGCTGTGCTTCAGGAGTGGGTGCTGGATGTGTGGGGAGTTTCCTGTGGGGACTAAGGACTCTGGTACCTTACCTGTCCCGTTGCCTGCTGCAGGAGTTTGACCCAGGGCAGGATACCTACCAACACCCCCCCAAGGACAGCAGCGGGCAGCGGGTGGACGTGAGCCCTACGAGCCAGCGCCTGCAGCTCCTGGAGCCCTTCGACAAATGGGACGGCAAAGACCTGGAGGACCTGCAGATCCTCATCAAGGTCAGCATGGCCTGCCGGGCACTCAGCTCCCCGGCGGGAGCAGGCGAGGTGTCACAGTGAAGAGCCAGGCCCGGCTGGATCCAGGATCCCAGCCGCCTGTGTGAGCAGTCAGCACGACACAGCCAGGCGAGAGGGACGCATGAGGCACAGCCTGGTTCCTACACCTCGCCTGTGACCAAACAGGCCCCAGGCAGGTGCTGGTTTCTCCTGGCCCACAGTCAGCACGAGTGGGTGTGAGGGCCTGTGGCCTGCGGCCTCAAACCTTACCAGGCATTAACCCCCAAGGACCTCCTGTGACACAGCCTGGGTTAAGCCAGGCAGCACAAAACAGCTACCAGCTGCTGGTCGCAGCTACCAGCAGGACCCAGCCCTGTGCCTGGCTCCTTTCTCTACACACCATGAGGCCTGGCTGGTCTTCCATGCCAGGCAGCTGTTAGTTGAGGGGCCAGCCTGGAAATGTGCTTGTCCTCCCTGGCCAGCTTGTGTCCCCACCCCACGCACCCCATCCTGCCCTGGAGACTGAGTAGCCCTGAGCCTCTGCCTGAGCCTTTGCACTGCAGGCCATGTGTTTCCTTCATTACCACACCCCACCCCCAGATGCCGGCATGGGGCCACCTGCTCCTGCCCCTGGACGGTTGCTCCTTTTCCCTGCCACTCCCGACTGCATCCTGACCACTGTCCTCTGCCCACCACCTCAGGTCAAAGGGAAGTGCACCACCGACCACATCTCAGCTGCAGGCCCCTGGCTCAAATTCCGTGGGCACCTGGACAACATTTCCAACAACCTGCTCATTGGTGCCATCAACATCGAAAATGGCAAAGCCAACTCTGTCCGCAACACCCTCACCCAAGAGTTTGGCCCTGTCCCCGACACTGCCCGCTACTACAAGGTAGGCCAGTGTTGGGGCAGTGCCACTCCTTGGGAGCCCGAGGCTAGGGACAGGGAAGACAGGAGGAGTAGGAACCAGGAGGGGGCCAGTGGGCAGTCAGGGTGAGGCGCCTCCTCCTGGACCTGAAGAGAGATGGGGTGCCTCACAGACGAGGAAAGAGCCACCCAGGCCTCTTGAGCAGGCAGGGAGGCCCTAAGGACAGGCTCGGCCCAGGAGCAAGGGGCAGGGCAGGTGACACTATTTACCATCGAGGGCCCTGCGTTGTCTCCCACTGCTCTGCCCCATGGTGGTCCCTCCCAGTCTCCTGGGTTCATGCAGACGGCAGCAGGGCCTCGTCCAGCCCACCTTTGTCCCCGCAGGGCCCGCTTGGGCCTGCTTCACCCAACCTTGGCTGCCAGGGGCCAGGCAGGTGGGTACTGGGCCGGTGAGCCTGGTGCCCTCCTCGGCCTTGTGACCTTGTCCCCCCGATCCGTCACAGCAACACGGCATCCGGTGGGTGGTGGTTGGTGACGAGAACTACGGCGAGGGCTCCAGCCGGGAGCATGCAGCCTTGGAGCCGCGCCACCTTGGAGGCCGAGCCATCATCACCAAGAGCTTTGCCAGGATCCACGGTGAGCTGAGCCTACCCGGTCATGTCACTGCCCCTCGCTCACAGCCCAGGGTCACATGCCTTGCAGTGGCCCGCGAAGGCCTAGAACCCATGCCTGACTCCTGGGCCATGGCCAGAGCTGGGGCAGAAGCGCTGCCGGCCCTTCTCAGGTTTCCATTCTCACAGCGCCCCGCCCGTACTGCTCCTGCTTCGACACTCAGATCCCTGCCACTGAAACCCAGGTCTCGTGACCAGAATTCTGTTCCCCTTGTGGCCCTGTCTACCAGGAAGGCCTCAGATACCTGCATCACGCACACCTGTGGTGGTGCCCCTGGTGACATGGGCCCAGGAGTCACTGCCTGTCCCCAGTGGAGGCCCTACTGGATCAGGAAGGGCAGCTCCCTGGGCAGAGGGAGGCAGGCGCAACCCTGCTGACCAAGTGACCCTCTGCCCTCCAGAAACCAACTTGAAGAAGCAAGGCCTGCTGCCCCTCACCTTCGCCGACCCTGCCGACTACAACAAGATCCACCCTGTGGACAAGCTGACCATTCAGGGCCTCAAGGACTTCGCCCCTGGCAAGGTTAGGGGCCTGGGAAGGAGGGTGGGCTGTCCAGGGCCACCCTGTGTCCCTCCTGGTCTCCAGGACACCCCTAGATGGTGCCTTAGAGAGCTGGGATGGAGCCAGCCCAGGCCCCCCAGCCCACCTCAGAATGGGGAATCACTCACCCGCCTTCCCCTGCAGCCCCTCACATGCGTCATCAAGCACCCGAATGGCACACAGGAGACCATCCTGCTGAACCACACCTTCAACGAGACCCAGATAGAGTGGTTCCGCGCAGGCAGCGCCCTGAACAGGATGAAGGAGCTGCAGCAGTGAGGACGCACCACCTCCACTGCCACCTACAGTTCTGTCAGAGCAGCACTGGGCCGCACCGTCCACAGCCACCACACCTGCTTCCCGCTCTTCCCTGACCCACCAACCAGCACCCTGAGGTCCAGCCCCTACTCTCTTGCGTTCATTTTGGTTCTGGTCTTGGACGGCCCTGTGCAACTGTATTTATTTTTGACGAGGACACTCCCCTCTACAGTTTTTATTCTGCCCAGTTGTCTGACAGGCAGCTGAAGGAGCTAATAGAACCTTTTCTTGGAAAAAAAATAACATTGACTGATGCTATAAGAATGGTTGGTGTCTGTGCTGTTTGTTGTCACCTCCAGTCCTGATCCACCTGCACAGGCAGCAGCCCCACGCCATGTCCCTGTGGCTTCCCGGGGGGGAAGGAGCCTCCACAGCCGGCTGCCACCTCCTGTCCCCTGCCCCAGGCACTGATGTGCTGTGTGGTTCCTGCTGTTCTCTGGGCCTTCACACAGGTGCAGTTGCCACCCCTCCACCCTGAGCCAGCGAACCCCACAGCCTCACCCTCCAGGTCCATAGTGGGCTGGCTGACTTGCGGGTGACCTTCTTCCAAATGCTGTGGGAAGGTGGTGCCTCTATGTTCCAGTCAATAGGCGTCTGGCAGCATCAGGGCCAGGAGCAGCAAGGTCAGCCAACCCAAAGGGCAGCCTCAATCTCAAAACCCCAGGTCTACACTTCGGGGGTTGGCAGTCATCTCCAAAAGTGACATGGACCAGCTTGGCAATTCATTTAGTGACCTTGGGTCATACTGGCTATCGGGACAAGGGAGTGTGGCCCTTCCATGCTGATGCTTGTTTATTAAATGTCTTTGCTATCTGGCACATGCCTGTAATCCCAGCTATTCAGGAGGCTGAGGCAGGAGAATCTCAGGGTGAGGCCATCTTGGGCATTTACTCAAGGGCTGGGATGTAGCTCAGTGGTAGAGCACATGCCTATTATGTGCAAGTGCCAGGGGGTTCGATCCCTAGAGCTGCTAAAATGAAGACCATGGGGACAGCACCACTGCAGGGCAAGACAGTGGGGGTGGGGTGGCTGGTAGTGCTGCTCCCCCGACCCAGGCCAGGTCAGGGGGGCGCAGGCTCCAGCGTCTGCTCCACTTCTGGTTTCCGAAGTCTGGGCCAGGGTCACTGGAGCCCAGGTTGGGCTAGCTGTTGGTCCACCACGAGAGGAGGCCCAGCCCGGGCTCGATGATGGACCCCTGCCAGGGAGAGAGAACCCACGTGTTTTACAGAGGCTGAAGGCAGGAGGATCACTGTGTTTGAGGCCAGCCTGAGATCACAGTGAGACTCTGTCTCAAAATAATAATAAAAATAACAGGGCCGGGGATTTAGCTCAGTGGTTATGCTGCCTGTCTTGAAAGCGCAAGGACCCAAGTTCGATTCCTGGTACCAAAAAAACCCCTCAAAAATAATAAAAAAATAAAAAGGCTGGTAATGTAGCTCAGTGCAAATGCCTTGGATTCAGTCTCTAGTACCACCAAAAAAAGAAAAAGCCCCTTGGGGCCTCATTCAGTACGGGCTCTGCCCTCCTACAGGCAAGAGACGGCCACCCCATCTCCAGTATCTATGGCAGCTGTCATCTAGTGGTGCCAGCCTGTAGAAACTGAGACACTCCAGGCCTGTAGGGACCTGGACCCAGAGGTGGTAAAGAGAGGGTTCCAGGAGCTCAACCTCACGGAAGCAGCTCCCCCCACGTGCACACCCATGCACACACGCACACGCTGGGCCCGGCCGCGGTGCACACCGTCAGGGGCTCTCACCACTAGCGAGTACGGGGCTTCCTTCTTCGGTGGCTCCTCACTGGTGGCAGCGGCCTCGGCCGACCTGGGCCCCGTGGGCGACGTGTCCACGAAGCTCTCATCCACCACCCGGAAGCGGATCTCCTCTCCGGTGTCCATGTACAGGTCGTGTGCACCCTCCTCTGTCTCGTACTCCCACACCCACACCTGCTCCACCTCATCGCTGGGGCCAGGGTCAAGGCCACAACCAACCCTAGAGCACGGGCAGGGTCCTCCCAAGCACCCGTCCCAGGAGACCCCACCCCAACTTCGGCCAGCTGGTGCTCCTTTTAGCCTCCTGACAACCTGAGAGGGCTGGTGGCTCAGACAGCCAGTTCTGGAGAGGAGGGGTGTGCTGGAGGTCAGCACCATCCGGCTGGGCCAGAGGGTAAATTCCAGAGACCCATGCAGACTCTGTTCCCTGCCCACCAGCCAGGGTGGCCCCTTCACCCCTACCCAAGCCCACACCCCGAGCCACACTGCCCGCTAGTGGCAGTCCTGCCACAGGGACCTCCTGAGGACTGTGGGTACAGTCGTGAAATTTCATACTTGTGACAGCCCCATAGAAAGAGATGGATGAGCCCATGCAGCAAGGAGGGCTGGGATGGGGACAGCGGGGGCCTAGGAGAGGGAAGCCCAGCTCAGGCCCTGCACAGGTCCCACCCCCTCAGAGGTAACCACAAGGGAGGCCCCTCCCTGGAGAAGAGATCTCCGAGGTGACTCCTCAGGGACAACCTAAACAAAGTGACCCAGAAGTGATCCTAGTGGTGTACAGAGCTCAACTCTGCCACCCAGACAGGAACAGGGACAAGGACACTGGGGTTAGCATGAGAAGCAGAGGCCCAAATTCCAAGGAGACAGGCACAGAGGCCAGCAGTACCAGGTCACAGGACCCTAGAGCCACTGCAGGAGTGGGGACTGTCCCCTGCAGAGGCCTGAGTGACTCTGGACACACTCTGCCCTTGGGAGGATACAACTTGGCAGGTTGCTGCAGTGACTCTGGGGGGATAAGGATGTCATCAAAGAACCCTAGGGAGACTGAACGAAGAGAAGGTGATGGCTTGGCATGGGGCACCCAGGTCCTTATCCCATGCTGCCGTGGGACAGATGTCACCATGGGAACCTGGCTTCCAGCCTCAGAGCCCCATGCTGCGCCTATACCACCCAACTGGCCTGAGCAGCCCCAGGTAAAGCCCAGGGCACCTGGCCCCTAAAACCTCAGATGGGCAGGCCGAGAACCCTAAGCCAGCTCCAGCGGCCACCAGAGGACCTGAGTTACAGCCTCCCTGTGAAACTGACACTGCCGAGGGCCTCACTCGCTCCCTGGGCCAGGGTGCAGTGTCACTTTGCTCGGCCCTGGAGGCTGAGCCTGGTCTCTGACCCCAGCCCACTGGTCCCGCCCACCCAGGGAATGGGGGCCGCTTACCATGCACCCCTTCCGAGCTGCAGCCCTTGATCTTCCCGATCAGAATCTCATCCAGGAACGGGTGGAACACCACGTAGCGGAAGTGGACTGGAAGGAAGGGCACATCTTTGATGAGCAGGCTCAGGAGCACAGCTGGGAGACAGCCACCCTCATCATGGGTCACTGAGCGCCTGACCCCTGCCAAGTCACTGCTGGTCCCCACATGGGGCCAGCAGCTGCTGCCTAGAACTGAGGACTGGCTCTCAGGTCCCCGTGATAAGTCAAAGCCAATTCCAACCCTGCCCCAGGCTCCCCTTTCAATTCTAAGTGGGGGTTGCGGTTTGGCTGCCTGGCAAGCACAAGTTCCCGAGTTCAATCCTCAGTACCTAAATAAAGAAATAAAATTCTAAAAAGGGCCGAAGCAACTGGCAAAGGGAATCAGGTTTGGAAACAAGTTCCTGTCACCTGCTAACTGGCAAAGTTGTTCCAGGCACAGCTCTGACCTGGAATAGAGTGCTAAAAATGCCAGAAATGGGGTATGTGTGTGTGTGTTTAGGGGGTGACCGAGTGGCAGTTGCCTTAGGGAAGCCACATGCATCACCTGGTCACTCACTCCTGCTGAAAGCCCCAGACAGTAACCAAGGAGAGGCCTCCAGCTGTTTCATGATCCACCTGCCATGGATGTCACCATGAGGAGGAGGTAGCGGCTCAGAGAGGCTGTGTGACCTGCTCCCTGCAACACAGCAGCGCTGCCCTAACACACCCTGGGAGACTCCAAGTCCTTCCCCAGATAGAGTCACCAGGTAGAGTCCCACCTTCCTGGGACAGGGTCACCCCTCATACACAGGCCTCCATCTGCCAATATCACCCCAGGACTGCAGAGCCACCCTTCCCAGTTTGCTGCCACCTGCTTCCCGGTAGCTGCACCAGGCAAGAAAGTGGGGGTGGGGGGTGGGGAGAAGCAGTGGCTTCAAGGGCTTCAAGAACAAGCCACTGGGAAGATGCCGAGCCTTGTGCTTCCCTCCCAGAGAGCACCGAGGGCAGCCAAGGGATGGAAGAACCCATCCACCACATGACCCAGGGCTCAGCTAGGTCTCACAAATCTGCAGAACCTCAGCCAGGCTGGTGCCAGGCCTGGCTTGGGCACTGGGCTTAGGACAGCACAGGGTTTGGTGCCTGGGAGCTCCCTTTGAAACCACATCCAAAAGCAAGCGGTGGCCAGCACATGTCCACCAAGGGATGAAGGGATGAATAAAATGTGCTGGGTGCACAGAGCACTTGCTTGGCATGTGAGGCCCTGGCTTCCATCCCCAGCACCACAAAGAAAAAAACCCAGAAGATTCTGCCACTTGGTACAACATGGATAAACAGTCCTTGAGGCTATGTGCTGTACGCCAGACACAACAGGCTACACACTGCAGGGTTACGCATTTAGGAAATGTCTAGGACAGGCAAGTGCACAGCATCAGGAAGCAGGAGCTGGGGAAGAGGGCGTGACTGTTGCTGGGGAGGAGTTCTTGTAGGGTGATGAAGCATTGTGGCATTAGACAGTGGTGACGGTGGGCAACTGAAGAGAATGAAACTCGTGGGGTGTGCTTTCAAAGCGTGAGTCCTGTGCTCTGTGAATATCTCAATTCAGAACAATAAAAGAAGAGCCAGGCCCGGTGCCGCATGCCTGTGATCCCAGCACTGGGGAGGCTGAGGCAGCAGGATTGCATAAGCCCACCTGAGCTACACAGAGAGCTTCGGTTTAAAAAAAAAAGAGGGCTCTGCTGGGCCAGCCTTGAACTCACGGCCACCCACCTTCCTGCCTCAGCCTTCCGAATGCTGAAAATAGACTGTTAACTGCATTTTATAGATGAGGAATCAGGGGCCCAGAGAGGTTACATATTCTACCTAGGACACACAGCTAGTAAGTGGCCAAATGTGGATTTGAATGCGTCTACCCGCCCAGTCTGTCTCCCCCCAGCCGCCAGCACCCCAAGGGCTGGGCCGAGAGCTGGGCTCCAAGGTAGATGGGACCCAAAAGGGCACTGATGTGGCCAATCTTAGACCTGCAGAGACCTCAAGGGTCACCAAGCCCACACAGCTCCCCCCACCCCCGCAGGTCTCAGGGATGAGGAAACTGAGGTCCAGAGAGGGAAGAGTCTGCCGGCCATCACCCAGCCAACTCCTGCAGGGTCAGGAGGAGATCCTCAGTTCCCAGCCCCCCACCAGGACTCTGTGCGGAACCCTGTGCCCCAGGAAGAGGGGGCACCCGGCCCACCTTTGGTGTGGGATGCACCGTCCCCTGGGAACACATAGGAGTCCTCCAGCCTGGTGATGTCGAACAGGCAGATGCAGAGTCCCACACTGTACAGGACCTGTGGGGATATGTGACATGTGCCATGATCCCAGGCCCTGTGCCCCGAAGGCTCTGCAGAAACCCTCTGGACTCCAAGCCACAACCACCCCCTTTTGAAATGTAATGAGCTGGGCGTGATGGTGCTCGCCTGTTATCCCAGCACTCGGGAGGCTGAGGCAGGAGGATCACTGTGAGTTTGAGGCCAACTTGGGCTATACAGCCAAACCATCTCAAAAAAAAAGGGTGAGAAAGAAAGACCAGCTGACCAGCTGCAGTATTGTGAAATGAACAGAAAGAATGGATGTAAAGCCCCTATCCCAGTGCTGGCTCCCAAGCTATAAATGATAATCAATCAAGGGTCCCTGTTCTTCCTAGTGAGGCTCAGAGGCAGGAATCCTGGGTCAAACCTTTGTTTTTCAATGTCTCAAAGTTCACGCTCACTGGTGAGCATGAAAGCCACAGCAAAGCTCCACCATGCTCCCGGTGCAGATACAGAGGCGGCCACGGACCACACTGGTGCGGCCACGTGGCCAAAACCACAAGGTCAGAACACCACAGGCCCACACCATGGTGTCCCAAACAACTGGCACTCTGCGGGCTCATCTGCCCCCAACGTCACCACCCCCAGCCCTAGGCCTCGAGCAAGCAGAGGTTTGGATCCAAAAGATGGGCAGGATTGTGGAGCCACAGTCCTCCCCTCAAGGCTCTGCCTCACCTGAAGACCTGTGCCCAAAGGGCCCACAGTCCCCTCACACCGTGCTCCCCACAACGGTCACACCTGATGCCCCGCTGCCCACCTTCTACTCACAGAGTAACTGGAAGCCATTGCTGAAAACTGTGATTCTCCCCATGCCTTGGGCCCAGATCTGCACACGGTCCCCTCTGACCTGTCCTCTTCGGCAAGGACCTCTCACCCGCCTAAGCAGCCATTCTGGTTTCTGGCCCCTCCTCAGCCCACCACATCCTGCTGCTTTCAGCGCCGACTAGGAGCCCCATGGGGACGGGTCACCCAGCTCCCACCACCTTCCCACCCCAACCTCCTCGCTTTGCCTCTGCCTGGAACCCACCAGCCTTGTCCATGCCCTGGTAGGGGCTATGGTCCCCTCTTTCCACAGGGCCTCTGCACCTGCCAACTCTGCCGCCTGCACTGCTCTCTCTAAACCCCTAACAGCCACCTCCTCAAGGTGAACCCTCAATTACCTCCGCACCATCAGATCTCAACTTGAGCACCACCTCCCCGACAGAGCTGTGTATCCCTAATTCCAGGTGAAGTCCCTTTGGTGCACAGGTGGGTGATGCCTGTCCTCATGGCACTTCTGACCCCTACCTCCCTCTTCGTCACATCTGCTTTTCTCACCAACCACAGACAGAGCCTTGCTGCTTTCATTCATTCAATTAACAGGTTAAGTATGGAGTGGCCACTCTGCCAGGCTCTGGCTAAGTGCAGGGCCACCACGAGGAAGAAAACGGAAAAGGTGCCTGCTGTCAAGGAGAGAAGGAAAAGCAGTAACCAGGTATGTACACAGATAAACAAGAAAATGCCAGGTGAGGTGTGCATGCTTGGAATCCCAGCACTCCAGAGCTGAGGCAAGAGGATTGCCATGAGTTCAAGGCCAGCCTGGGCAACATAGCAAGACTGTCTCAAAAAAAAGGGAGAGAGAGAGGAAAAAAGAAAAGAAAAAGACAGCGTGGTGAGTGCTAAGGAGGAGACAATGATATGGCAGGAGCTGCCCATGAGGCACAGGCAGGGCACACGAAGGTGTCCAGATATCTGCTCTGTTGCAGGAATGAATGATAAACCTCCCGACAACAAACCCCATACACTAGAAACTGAGCCCTGAGAGAATGATTTGCCAAAGATGGCAGGGTGATTTGGAAATGTGAATCTAGCACTTCCTAATTATAGTTATTTATTATTTATTTATTTTGAAGACGGGGATTGAACTCAGGGCTTTCGTACTGAGCTACATCCTAGCCCTTTTCTATTTTGAGGCAGGGTCTAACTAAGTCACTAAGTGCCCCAGACTGAACTTAAACTTGTGATCCTCCTGCCTCGGCTTCCCAGAGTGCTGGGATGACAGACAAGGGACACCACGCCCGGCTCCATTTTTCCCTTTTGATCCCCTCCAACATCCTCAGGAGGCTGGGAATACCCCACCTCATCCCGCTACTTGCCCAAGGCCAGGGCTGGGCACCTGGCGTGCCAACCTTGTACCTTGTACCTTGTTAGCCAATTTCTTGTTCAGCTCCTCGGCAATGGAGTCGTTGAGATTCCTGTCAAACTGCCACGGGGGGATCCGCACCGTGTCCACCATCTCCACCAGGACGAACATCCTGGCCTCCACTGGGAGCTCTGGGAACCAGAGAGCTGGTCACGCACCGAGGGGACCCCGATCCCCCTCAGTCCCCACACAATCTCTGAGATCCCACCACCACCACCACCCGCCAACACAGGCCGGCAGCGGGGAGAGGGAGCAGGGTCTTGAGGGCCCCATGTGAGCCGTGTCTCCGCTGCTGAGACGGAAGGAAACTGAGGCCTGGCAGGAGGCGCTCTCCACGTAGCTCTCGGGGTGCCCAATCCGGCCACTCGGCTCCCGTCCCCACCACATGCCACCTCCACGCTCCGCGTACCTACACCCGACCGTCTTCCGATCACAGGACGTGCGCGAGGTTCCGAATCCCGTCGCTTCCGGAGATCTGACCAATAGAAAACCTCTGCCCGCCCCCTGGCCCGGGATGGGCTGCTTATAGGCTCCTGTCCGGGGCGGGGCGGAGCATGGAGATGGGGCGGGACCTCCTTCTTTAGCTCGGAGCGGTCAAACCTCCGAAACAACAGCGCTCTCTGGTTGCCAGGCGACCTTTAATGCCATCCAAGCTGGGTCTTTGCTCGCGGGGACTGAGCGGTGCACGTCCTCTTTGCTTGTCTAAGGCGTCCTCTGTCCTGCAAACAGAGTCATCCTTCAAAACAATATAACCAGATGTGATGGCACCGACCTGTAATCCCACCCCTTCGGAGGCTGAAGCAAAAGGATCTCAAGTTCAAGTCTAGCCCTGGCAATTAGAAACTTAGCAAGAACTTGTCACAAAATAAATTAAATTAAAAAGAAATGGAAGGGGCCAGGAAGTAGCTCAGCGGCACCGCGCCAGCCTGGCAAGCGCAAGGTCCTGAGTTCGATCCCTGTACTAAAAAAAATAAAAAGAGAGAGAGAGAGATTCAGGAGTCAGAATTATTAATCATCTCTCTCTCTCTCTCTCTCTCTCTCTCTCTCTCTCTCTCTCTCTCTCTTTTGGTAGCAGGGATTGAACTCAGGACCTCATGCTTGCCAGGCAGGTGTGGTGCCACTGAGCTACATCCCCAGCCCCTGAATCTCTTTTTTGTTGTGTGGTTGGTTTTAGGTTTTTTTGAGACAGGGTTTTGTTTGGTTATTCAGGTTGGCCTTCAACTCATTAGGTAGCCCAGGCTGGCCTTGAACTCAGGGCAACCCTCCTGTCTCAGCCTCCTGAGTGCTGGGATTACAGGTGTGCACCACCATGCCCAGCAGTTCATATTAATCTTTATCCTCACAAGTGCTGTATAAGGTAGCTGCTCCTATATGCCACCCCCTCCATAGTGGGATGGAATCCAGGCCCAGGCTAGGCACATGCGATATCAAACAAACCCCAGCAACAACATGTAGCAATCTATCACTTAGGTATCTTCTTTTGCCATACCTAAGAGGGAGGTCAAGGAGGTTGTCCAAGCTCACACAACTCATGTGACACAGAGCTGGGACTTGGGCTCCAGACCCCATGATCCTAACCACCAGGCAGTACCGCCATGACATTAGCCTAAGGCCAGGGAAACGACACAGTGACAGAGGAGCCGAGGGACAGCAGGTGGAGAGGGGCTGGGGCAGAGTCCAGGGGTCTGGGGAGGTGGAAGGATGGGCAGCCTGGGAGACAGGGATAGGAGCCAGCACTGAAGGCTCAGCCCTTTCACCACGTGGGAACCTGGCTGGGAGCCAGACTGGGGCTGTGGATGGTGTTCCCTCATCTTCCTTTCTGGTTTTCAGCTCCCAGAGTTGCAACAAAGATGCTGGCAGGTTGGTTTCCTCACTGGGAAGCCAGAATAGGAGGCTTTATTAATTTTCCACATCGCTCCAGGGAGCATTGGAGGCATTTTCCAAAAACAGGCAGGGAACTTGGTCCACAGGCTCCATGACAGCAGAGAATGTCTCTATGGGTCCCTGGGACCAGGCCATCCTTGCAAATCTGGGCCATTTGAATGGACACAGGGTAGCAAATGATTGCTGAGAGTCCTGGCAAGAGGGAGAAGTCAGCCTGGGAACTGATCAAGGCTGAAAGAGAGCAGGGCAGGAAGAACTCAGGCTCCCACAGCACACATTGCACAGGACCCAGCAAACCTCCCAGCGCCTCTAGCCACCCTATGGGAGGGGGATAAGGACAGAATGGACCTCAAAGTCCTCAGTAGAGCACTGGCCTTGGAAAAGAACATGCAGTACATTGTGCAACAGAAAAATATGAAGCAATATCAAAGAATAAGAGTGCTTTTGTGGGGCCGGGGATTTAGCTCAGTGGTTTCAACACCTGCTACACAAGCGCAAGGACCCAAGTTCGATCCTGGTACCAAAAAAAAAAAAAAAAAATAGAGTGCTTTTGTTGGCCAGGCATGGTGGTGCACGCCTGTGATCCCAGCACTCAGGAGGCTGAGGCAAGAGGATCACTATGAGTTTGAGGTCAGCCTGGGCTATATAGTGAGTTCAAGGCTAGCCTGAACTACATAGTGAAACCCTGTCTCAAAAAACAAAATCCAAAGCCCAGGGATTTAGCTCAGTGGCACTATGCCTGCCTATAAGGCAGGCAGCAGCACCACAGAGCTAAATCCCCAGCCCCAAAAAGAATATTTTGTTCCTTGTACTTGGGATTGAAACCAAAGCTATTGCACTGAGGGACATCCTCAGCCCTTTTTATTTTTTTATTTTTAAACAAGATCTCAAGATCACAGGATGTACCCCTAAGGCTGGCCTGAAGATGCTCTCTGTGAATTGCTGTAGAATGATATCCTGGGTATATTGTTAAATATAAAAATGCAAAGTACAGAATAGTGGGTATGAGGCTTACCATTTTATTTTATTTGTTTATTTATTCACTTATTGTTTTTTTAAGACAGGATCTCCCTATATAGCCCACCCTGGCCTTGAACTTGTAAAAATTCGCCAGGGATTTAGCTCAGTGGTTCCGGCGCCTGCCTCGCAAACGCAAGGTCCCGAGTTCAATCCCCGGTACAAAAAAACTAAAACTAAAAAGAACTTGTAGAAATTCTCCTTCTTCAGCCTCCTGAGTGCTGGCATTACAGACGTGCAACATCATGCCCAGCCTCACCTCCCTGTTTAATAGTTTTCCTGAGCATTTACTGCCTTCTGACAGACACACTATAACTACAGTACTAAGTCATTTTATTGCCTTTCTCCCCCTTCTTGACTGTCCGCACCACAAAAATAGGAATTTTGTCTGTTTTGTTTACTATTCATTCTCTAGTGCCTACAAAAGTGCCAAGTGGCCGGGCACAGTGCCGCACAACTGTATTCCGAGCTACTCAAGAGGCTAAGGCAGAGGGATCACAAGTTCAAGACCTACCTGGGAGACTTCATAAGCAGTCTCAAAATAAAATTTAAGACTGGATGTGATGGCACATACCTGTAATCCCAGCACTTGGAAGGCTGAGGCAGGAGGATCTCTGTGAGTTCAAGATCAGCCTGGGCTACCTGATGAGTTCAAGGCCAGCCTTGAACTACATAGAGAGACCCTGTCTCAAAAAAAAAAAAAAAAAAAAAAAAACAAGAAAAGAAAAGAAAAACAAAAGATTAGCTCTGAGCTAGATCTCCTCCTGTGGACTCACTGTGGCAGACGAATTTGACCCTGAGCTTTCTAGCAGCCGGAGAAAGAGAACAACATTTCCATGTCAACGGGCAAGCTTACAGGTGTCGGGATAGCAGATCGTCCTGATCAGAGGTCTCAGGAGGCTGTGCAGGCAGCAGAGAAAGAAGAGGGGTGGGTGCCCCAGGCAGCCTGTCTGCAGGGCCTGAACTCTGTTCATGTGGGCACTGTGTTGTTGTTTTCTTAATTAAAAATTTTTGTCTTTTTATTTTGAGTCAAGGTCTCACTATGTTGTCAAAGCTGCTCTTGATCCTCCTGTCTCAGCCTCTGGAGTGGCTGGGCCTTCAGGTGGGTACCACCATGCCTGGCTTCATGTGGGCACTTTTTCTTCTTTTTCTTTCTTGCTAGTTCAGGCTGGCCTTGTACTCGTGGCAATCCTCCTGCCTCAGCCTCCTGAGTGCTGGGACTAGAGACATGTGCCACCACCCTGACCCGCTATCTTTTATAATTTGTGATTATAACTCACTTGCTGTGTATTTTGTATTGTCTGCCTCTCCCTAGACAGGATGTGAGTTTCATGAACTCAAAGAACAGATCTGCTTTGTCCACTGCTAAATCCCCACCGCCTAGGCCAGAGGTGGGAAACCTACGGCATGTGTGGCACAATGGGCAGTTTGTATCATTGAAAGCTCTAAAAGGTTAGTCATTGCTGGCCTAGGCCATCTTGGCTCCTCCCAAGGGTGAGGAGTTGAGGCCCCAGAGGACAAAGAGGCATCGGGTGTGACACAGCAGAAAGAGTAAAACTGTAATGATGGTGCGTGTAGCCGTATGCTTTTGTAATCTCGGCTACCCAGGGAGCCGAGTGGGGAGGTCTGCAAAGTTACAGGCCAGCCTGGACAACTTAGCGAGAACCCCTCTCAAATAAAAAAGAAAAAGGAGGGCTGGGGATTTAGCTCAGTGGTTCCGGCACTTGCGTTGCAAGCGCAAGGTCCTGAGTTCGATCCCCGGTCCAAAAAAAAAGGGCTGGGGATGTAGTACAGCATGCTTGGGTTTGATCCCCTGTGATGAAGACAGTGTAATAAAGCTGGGAGCCTTCCTTTTTTCTTTTTCTGTCTTTCTTTTTTTGGCTTTTTTGAGACAGAGTCTTGCTATGTAGCCTAGGCTGGCCTTGTACTCACTGTGATCCTCCCACCTCAGTCTCCCAAGTGCTAGGATTACAGGTGTGCACCACCACGCCTGGCTTTAGAACTTCTGCATATCAAGGCCAGCTCTGTCACAAGCTGTGTGATGTTGGCCAGGTTTCTTACCCTCTCTGTGGCTGAGCTTCCACATCACTGTGAGAGTGGCCCTGACACCTTAGGGGTCTCTGTCCCTTCAAGGGTTACGTGGGTTCAAGGCCACACAGTCCTGGCCTGGGCCGGTTGGAGACACTGACAGGAGGAGAATCACAGCACAGGTGGAATCCACAGGATCAGGGCTGCTGGGCTTCTCAGATGAGGGAGGGAGGCTTTCGAGGCGATGAGCTTTGGAATTCTCAGCTTTTCACAAAAATAGCCTCTCGGAGCCCCTGGTTGCAAGCCTTGGATCTCTTTGTTACTCAGCAGCTGGTGGGCGGGTGGGTAGTGGCTCGGCTGCTCATTTCCTCAATGAACAGCTGTGCCAGCTCGGCGCTGCGTGTGGGGCCCGGATCACACTACTTGCACTGTGCCAGCTTCCTCGTTCACTCACACATGGGCACCGTGGCTGCCAGGAGCCTCAGAGACAAGGAACCCGGAAGCCAAGGGAGGGTTCAGGTTCTCAGCCCTGATCTTAGCCTGGTCCACAGCGGACTAGGCCTCAGCCTCCTCAGGACTGGCCCTCCAGGTGAGTGTGGTGATGCACACCTGTCATCCCAGCCCTTGGGAGGCTGAGGCAGGAGGATCACCGAGAGTATGAAGCCAGCCTGAGCTACTTAG